AATCAGAGCTGACCTGTATAGCCAAATGTAATCTTATTAAATATGATTAAAAAAACTAGAATTTTTGGGATTTTTGTACGCAGCCATCACACACGGGATGGAGCTACAATTTTTGGACTATCGCGCTCCAATATTCTGAGAACTGATATGGCTAACCAAAACCGAGAAATCAGTCTATTTATAGACTTTGATCGTTTTTCCATCGGCCAGCACCTACCTCGTAAAGCAGCGTTGTTATAATGGGCAAGGAATGCCACGATGGCAAGACTCAGGCTGAAGAAAAATCTCATATTGAGTGTTCTGAAAATAAACAGTGAAAGGGCTTTAACATAATTCCAAGGAAAAACTATGCACATCTTCACAATGTATGCTATTACGACCTTACGACTTACACCTTGACTCCATTAGCTGTGTTTCTTGTGCTTTCTTGATTGGCTTTAAGCCAGTATTAGACGAAGTTTGTAGTAACTTTACATTGTGAAGATGGGAATAATCGTATTGAAACGTCATCTTTGCCTATTTTTTTTCTAAATCAAATTCCATTTATTTATTTTATTCTATAAAATTGTCACGTGTTTATGATATAGCTATACATTAACCATAACACCGACAAAACATAACACCACCGTATCTGAACCGCAGTTCACATACCGGAGTCTCAATGTCGACACAATCCCTAATGGATAATGCCCCCAGCCTATGTTTTCTATACATTGAGTCAGCAAAATACGATACATAAAGAGTCGAATGTTGTCAACAAAATACGATACATAGAGTCGAATATTGACTACACAATACGATATATACAGCCGAATATTGACTACACAATACAATATATACAGCCGAATATTGACTACACAATACGATATATACAGCCGAATATTGACTACACAATACGATATATACAGCCGAATATTGACTACACAATACGATATATACAGCCGAATATTGACTACACAATACGATATATACAGCCGAATATTGACTACACAATACGATATTTAGAGCAATAGAGCCTAATATAGTCAAAGTTATATTCATATACATAGCTGTAGTGGAATAATGTTAAAGCTGTGGCCAAATAATAATGCCTATAGCGGTATACTATATTATACAAAGCTGCGAATTCGATAATTGTTGCTATACACAGCTACCATATACACACATCCCTGGACAGTATTCTTAGTAAATGTAATTTTGCTTACCTTGTAGTATCAATAGGAGACCGGTTTCTCTTTCGTCTGAAGTCTGGTGTTGACAGCTACTAGTTTTATACCTAGAAAATATCATTTATGAAAACGGGAGTCGTTCTACACTTTAACTGGTTGATTAATTTCAATAGTAGAAGGTGTGTAACTTTCTCTTTCTTTACACTTTTATTAAATAAATACTTCTTATTTTGTCCAAAAATACCAAGTAAACACTCGTCTTTCTGTCTATCTTCATGTATTATCAATTTTGTCAGTGATTAAATTGCGTGGGCTAATTAAGAAACTTTGTGAATGGCGACCTTCCTAATTTCGATTGTACTCAATTCTGTATCAAAGAAACGACAACAACTGCAGTATTTTGATTGTATTTAAGATAAATGTTCATTTTGATAATGACCGTAGCCATTATCGACGCATCTTCACAAAGTCAAGCTATGACTTAGTTTTGTACCTTGACTGCAATAGCCACTTCTGGTATCACGGAATGCAGCGATTTGATTGGGTTGTGTGCAAACAATACAACAAATAAGAATGAAATGAAATGAATGGAGTTTTACGTCCTACTTTTGCATCATGTGGGCTAATGAAGACGGGCAACAGTATGCAAGGTGCAATGAGGGAACGACTAGACGCTTTTTCCATGTCAGCCCCTCTTACCTGCAGTACTGACAAGGGGAACCGGGTTGAAAAAACCGTAGGACTTACAATAAGAGCCAATAGATAAAGTTTGTAATAGCTTGACACTGTGAAGATGAAGTTTGTAATATATTGACATTGTGAAGATGAAGTTTGTAATAGCTTGACATTGTGAAGATGGAGTTTATAATATCTTGACATTGTGAAGATGAAGTTTGTAATAGCTTGACATTGTGAAGATGAAGTTTGTAATATCTAGACATTGTTAAGATGCAGTTTGTAATAGCTTGACATTGTAAAGATGAAGTTTGTAATAGCTTGACATTGTGAAGATGACGTTTGTAATAGCTTGACATTGTGAAGATGAAGTTCGTAATAGCTTGACATTGTAAAAATGAAGTTCGTAATAGCTTGACATTGTAAAAATGAAGTTTGTAATAGCTTGACATTGTGAAGATGAAGTTAGTAATATCTTGATATGGTGAAGATGAAGTTTTTAATAGCTTGACATTGTGAAGATGAAGTTTGTAATATCTTGACATTGTGAAGATGAAGTTTGTAATATCTTGACATTGTGAAGATGAAGTTTGTAATAGCTTGACATTGTGAAGAGGAAGTTTGTAATAGCTTGACATTGTAAAGATGAAGTTAGTAATATGTTGATATGGTGAAGATGAAGTTTGTAATAGCTTGACATTGTGAAGATGAAGTTTATAATATCTTGACATTGTGAAGATGACCCCGCATATTTTGGAATTTTCACGAAAGACCTGTGCTTGTGTATTGGCAAAAAGCCTAGCGTACAATCCAATCCAATTGTGGCAATTACAACCTCCTGTGACACAAGGAAAGTGGCTATTTATGTCAAGGTATAAGACTGTAAAATAAAATTGTAATAGCCTGACAATGTGAAGATGCTATCGGCGTAGTCATTGTAGTTAATATCCCCCGTATATATTTTGATCTTTAATTCTGATCCCGTTTTTTCGAAATTTTCATGAAAGATCTGTGCTTGATATTGGCAAAAAAAAACATTCTATTGGCTACATTTCTAAATTTCACCCTATGATTTTGTTGAGTTGGTAACATCTGGACATGACGGATCACACACTGTGAGACAAGTCCGTCTATAACTGTTACATACAGTAAGGGGGGGAGAGGGCATGACCCCAAAAATACCCTCTAACTACGTTACTGCACTATAAGAAGACAATGGTAAGTCCATAGCCTTTCAAACGGATGTGTGATTACAAACCTAGACGCACGGTGGCATTCTGTACAGATTGGTGATCATATAAAACATAGAGTCATTGTTGAGGTCACGTAACAAGAGAAGAGTATGTTCATTGTAATTAAAAAGAAACAAACAATTATAACAAGGATAACAACTTAGGTTCACGAGGGTCCTTTCTACCAGCTGGTTCTTAGCCAAACCTCTTGGCATTGACTGATCTTTTCCAGATTGTCCGTACCCATTTACAGCTGGGTTGACTGGAATTATGAGGAAGAATGACTCGTTGAAGTTCAGCCGATTTTCTCACGCTGACCGAGATTAGAATCGCCGACCAAAGTTTGTTAAAAGTAATAGACAAAAAATTTCATTCCGTCGCTCGAACCGACTGTGCTACATCTTTTCCTCAAAGACCTTAAACTGGTCTTGTTAACTAACCGCTAACTAACTCACTGACTTCGGGGGTGAAGCTGCTTCAGATGGAATGGCGGACAGGTTTACAAAGGTCTGACCAAAAGAAGACGTCATTAGCACTCCTGAAAAGATCGAGATGAAGAAAAGATGTGATGTTTAAAGATGGGTTTCCTTATTTTTTAGTGTCAAATGAAGCAAACTATTTGATTAATTGGTGTTTCTAATGAATTATCATGTATTCTTAATGAATATGAATATTCTTATTGCATATAATTAAGAGTTTTAACCAATCATAAATGTCCATGTATGTACAGGCTTGATAAACAAACAAAAAAAAGACTTTTTGATCTTTCTTGATCGGTCACTAAATGAAATTCTGCTGGTAATTCTCTTATAATTTAACTAATTATGAATTCATTATGAACATTTTTCCAAGTCATTAGCACACCTCTACTTTCTATTCATATAAGTATTAGCATTTTCATTTTCCTAAATGAAACTAAGGGAATCCATCTTTAATAAGTAGTGTGATTTCCGGGGAGGGTTCTACTCCACACTTAGCTTAAAAACTTAAGTACCAGTTCTATTTTGTGATAAAAATTCAAATGATTAAACCGCCCTTAACCTGACTTTTTACCTGGAATAAAGAGCTCATTGTTATCAAACACTCCTTTGGTTAAGAACTTTTTGTTTAAAACATCACACGTGGGAACAATGGCGGAGCCAAACGGGGTGGCAGAGGGGGCAACCCCCCGCCCCCCCCCCCCCCCCTGNAGGCCCGAAAGCAAGTTTTTCGGTCC